TGAATGAATTCCAGCTTGGCATAGCATTTCTCCTTCTCTTTTTACCTCAAAAAATTTAGCAGTTTGGATAATAAACTAAATCTGTTGTTAGTGGTGGAATACAGAACAAGGGGGCTGTACAACCTTACTGTACAGGGTTGTACAGGTTGCCCCTGTGCCCAGGAAAGGTTTGCTTGAAGGTTTGCTGGTTTGTGGGGACATCCTTCATACTCCAGTGAACAGGGATGCTGCAATTTCTTTCCCCTTCCTCCAAATTGTGGAGCCCAAAATCCTGTTAGGCATACAGACGAGGAGGGGTTGTATTGCGTACCCAGATAACAAAGTACTCATGTTTGCAGCTGTTCTGACACACCCCTTAAGTATTGCCCTGCACCCCGTGAGCCTTGGAGTTTGAATTAGTAACACCCTAGCTGTAATGCTGCCTTGACTGGAACCCAGATTAAAAGCAGCACTGAAATTGACCTGATTCCCTAAGAAAGTCAGGGAATCTTCCTTAGGATGGTAATTTCCTCTCCAGGGTCATAACTTGCCTTAGATCTGGGTGTTTGCCATCAGGCATTTCAGCAGGCTCAGATACAGAGCTCAGGAAATGCCTTCTGCCAGGCACCCAGAGCACAGCCAAACTGGTCCACACACGGCCTGAGCAAGGTCAGTTTCCGCTTACACTTTGGGCAGTGACTGACCTGATAGCTCCATCTGTGTTGGCTGTATCAAAGAAACATTTTTGAGGATTGTCAAGCAGTCAAACTGACTTGACTCACTGACAGAGCAGTTTTAAAAAAATCACTTTGGAAGAAACAGTTGCGGGTAATGTGTTGGGATTTGGGTCACCTTAACCCAGCTGTGATATCTCTTCTTGGATGGGTCAGCTGTGAAATACGCACAGCTATCTCTTGCCATGTGCCCTTATGATCTGTGCCTGCTTTCTCCCTGCTAGTGGCACAATCTTGAGGAAGGTTAACTCCACAATAATCAATCCCTATCTGTGCTGTAAAACTGAGTCACCAACACAGCTCACTGAGGACTGAAGAAGGTGCAAGGTTTAAATTGTTGTTTAGGACTCCACTGCCATCTTAATATTCTCTTTCACCAAGAAATGGCTTTAAGCATCATTAATTTTTTTTCTAATTATTCTAATTAATGTCCTTAGTAATTTTCTGAAGATCAGAAGCGACCTCTATACATATTCCTATCCCACTTTGCAAAGAGTGACATGACACACACCCTACAAGAGCGTGCTGTATCTCAGAGGTCACAGCTCCTTTCCTCAGTGATGAAAGCTGCAACTCTTTGCTCTGAAGTCAAATGCTACAGAACTCTCCTGTTTTTTACAGGAGGCTTAGTACAACAAACAAGGAATGGTTCTACATAAGATACAAGTATTTTCTTCTTTTGTTTCTGCAGGTGCTAATACATCCCCAAATACATGTTGCAGCATGATTTATAACCTTAATGTACATCTGTAATTGCAAAGTGTTACATGCTCATGTGGTTTGGATTAACTTAGTTTTGATGGTTTAATAAACCATTTCTTAAACATGTTAAAAGTTAGGTTATACTAAGAAAAAGATGGTAAAGTTCTTCCACAGCAATCATGGGGTCATAACAAAACCCCTCTATGTATTTTTAGAATTTAAGCTTTGATAAAATCCTGTACATGCAGTTTTCAAGATACTTCAATTCAGCAGAAATCAGAGTTGTGTACCTTTCTTGTCACATTTCTAAGGAATGATAGATTTCTTGGCCTTCAATACAATTTTGGAGGCAAACTGATCGCATTAGAGATCATCACAGAGCTGAAGATGAACCACATAATCAGAAATAACTCCCCCCAAAAGCAACTGAATGCTACATCTGCCTGCACAAGTACTGAAAAAGCTACACCACGAGCCTGTTGGAATCCATGTTTTAATTTATTCTGCAACTGCATTCAAAATATAAATACAATCTCTTAAGTGCTGAACAGTCAGTTAAAATCATTGTTAAGATACACTTTAACGTTCTGAACAAAGACACAACTTTACTGGTTTCACTAGAATTATGGCTACTTTTACAGCACTGAACCTCCTATGTTGAATCACCAGCTCATACCATCAAAACAGTTCTGGTTATTTATGATTACTGTAGGAATTACCACTCTTTTCATATTTTATAAATTCATCATATTTCACATTTATACGTTAAGCAAATTTGAGATCAGGATTTGTGGCATTCCCAGAGCATCTATCTGAAGTATTGGTCCATCTCCCAGCCCCAGCACACTGGACTGCCCCAAACTGAGCTTAGCCTTAGTCCAGTCTCTACAGATGTCAAGTAAGGAGCACAACTAAAAGCAAGGTTTAATGCTGGAAGTGTTAGACAAGGAACAGAATCCAAACATGAAAATTGCCTCATCTTTAGCAATCTTTCCCATCCAACTCAGTGCACTCAGTTAAAGTGTCAAAGATTAGACAATCATATTGCCTAAATCCTTCAAAAGTGAGTTTTTGTTGGGGTTTTTGTTTGTATTTTTCTTTTCCCCAAAAATACTAGCCATACATTTTCATGTGTCTATATACATGCCATTTCCCTAGCAAAAACTGGTCTCTGCTATTCTTGAGCACCTCGTTCAGAAGTTGCTTCAGATAACTATATTTCAGTTTAACTAGAATACTCTTAAATTCAAGTACTGGTGAACCTCACAATCTTGCAGAAATTCTGCTGCTGTGAGGATGACAGAAATCTATACTAGGTAATTTACTTTATCTCCCACTATCTCCTAACATGCAAAACACAGACTCATGTGCTTTGTCCTTTCAACTGCTTTCCTGTTTTTACAGTCTTGGGCTCCACCTAGATTGTCCACTAACCTAGGAGGATAACAATGTCATAGTGGGAACAGAGGTTCTGATGAGGTAAGTACTTGATTTTGTGGCTTTCTTGGTTCTCACTGTGCTCTGGTTAAAGAACAGCTCTGCTTCAAGATCTAACACTCCTCTCAATCCTCAGATATATAAAAATAAGTTTTGGTTTCAAATAAATACAACACACTGAACCTGGACATCTTTCTTGTTCTATATTACTCTATAGCCCAACTGTTTGGAATGACTGTAGGGTATAATTTATGCACTGATTCAACGACATAATCAGCTTACATTGTCAATCACTGCACTCTTAAATCAGAAAAAAAATTTGTAAGTGTGAGATTCCCAAAATAAATCCTTAAAATCTTTAGCACCTTTCATGATTTCTCCTCAGCCGAAAACTACAGAATTCTACAATGCTCTTTCACTGATAAAAAAATAATAATCTGCCTCAGTTCTCTGTCTCCAGCAGTCTCTACTCTGTTATTCACTTGAAAGTTTAGTCACTGGCAGCAGCAAGACCATGTCTGTTAAAATATACAAAGCCAGTTGAATCGGTGTTTAAGGAATAAATTACTATAATGCAAATTAGAAGGCCTACTTTGCTTTCAGAAACTTCACTCTCATTCACAAAATTTTTCAATTTCTAGGCCTGCTACTAAAACCAACCTCATAAAAAGGAAATCTGCATGGAGAAAATTTTATTAAAAACATCATCATACCTAAAATATGCTAGCAATTTTCTTTCATTTAAACATAAGTTCTTTCTTCAGCTGTTCTGTGCTTCATTAGCCTATCTTCAGTGAAAGCATAAAATGCCATTTCACCGAACCCTAAGGATAGACAGCCTATAAGTGTTAGAGCCGTTAGAATGAATGTTTGGAACAGGGACCTCCTAACCTTTTCTGCAGTGCCTAGTGTTGTACAAGCATCATCCTAAAAGTGTCCTGTGCTCTTTCAACCCATTTCTCCAGCACTGAAGGGCCTCTGTGTAGACTTAAACTGGGCTTTTTACAGAGCAATGGATTATCTCTTCTATATATACATTTGTATTGCAACCCTTTTAGTCCCAGTAGTTTAAAAAAAAAAACCAAACATGAATATTTATATTCACTATATCATAGTCTTTATAATGTGAAAAAATAAATAGGGTACACTTAAAAGTTTCATCTATAATCATATCAGCATTCATCCCACATAGTGCTATTGCTAAAGTTTTCATACTTGTCTCTCTAACAGTACTAGAAAGGAGTGGACACTAGCATTTAGGAAAAAGAGTATCTGTTGACACTGATTCCTCAGTGTCCTTGGTAGCCCTTGTGAATTTCCAATACTTATGGGGGGAAACACAGAAGGCAGAAAAGATGGAAAGAGTAACTAAGGAGTTTAAAGGCAACTGGAGAATACATGTGCTTTCTACAACCATGAGCATGCTTGAGCAGTAAGAAAAGTCCTCACTGTTCAGAGTTCAGCGTTCAGCTACAGTGGCCAGTGTCAACAGGGACAATATTGCAGGAAAACAATTTTAATCTGAGCATTTTTTTTCCTGAGAGTTCATTACCAGCCCTTAGACTGTACATGTACAACTGGCCACAATATATTGGGACTCCAAGGTACTTCCCCTAATTACTATGTTAAACCTGCCTCTACTAGGACTGGTAAAGCATAGGGATAATTACAGTCTCATCTGAGCAAATGTACCTGTCAGGATCACTGGGTGGCTAAATATCCTTAAAAATTAGACCATCCATCTCCAGAAGATCTGAGCAATTCTCAGCTTGAGCTTTGGACTTCAATGCTTATGTTTTCAGATGCTGATTTCAGTTATTGCAAAGATTAATCTCAGGGCATTACCACAGAACACTCCAGTGCAGTGCACCAGCATGCTAGCTGTCTGTGCTATCATGGCTACACCAGTACCTATACCTGAAGCAAGATAGTCATCCTTTCTGTTGCTTTAGTAATTCCAGGATTTTCAGTTAAGGAAAAAAAAAACAAAACAAAACAAAAAACAAACACAAAACAAAAAACAAACAACCCACAAAAAAACCCTAAAAATCAGCAAAACCACAAAAACCCATAGAACACAACTACATGAAAATTTAAGTGAAATATGCTTTAGAAGTGCTGAGAATTAGAGATTAATCAGAGACTTGCTATTTTGACAACTGTGTGATTAGAGCCCACTAAGAACTATGGAAATATATTAGATGATTTACATGAGCTTTGGATCAGCTGTAGGGGCATTTCTTTACCTGTGCACTGAGACTGTTATATACAATAGTTAAATAAGTTACAGTTACAACACTGAAGAAATGCCAACAATGAATACTTATTTTTGCTAACAAGAGCAAATAGCTTTCTTACAAATAGTATCATTTTATAACTTAACTATGTAATATCCCCATGATCAACTGAATTTGTAAAACAAATTACAGATGCACCTGTACAAACTAAATAAATAAAGTTTAAGTAAATATAAAAATATATGTATTACAAAATCACATCTTCAATGAGATGCTGCCTGTACAGCAACCTGCGCCAGCAAAATGCTAAGCACTCCACTCTCAGTACTATTGAAGACAGCTGAGTTCGTGCTGCATTTTTCAAGCCCGCCTTCCCTCCCCCCCCCATCTTTGTGTTTTCTACCTAAAAAGCCAGAGGTTTACGGATTCAGACTACTCCTCACACAGCTGCACAGTGCTGAGCAGGAAACAGAATCTCACACCATGAATTAGGAAGGTATGCTAAGTATCACATTAAAAAGTACTTTATAAAGTTGTTTGGATCCCTCAGTATAAAGGTTCAGGTATCATTCAGGGACAATGTCACTTCTTCACTTGGTAGCTAACCTATGCCAAGCTAAACAATAGCATTTGATTACAAGAAATGCATGAGCTCTTAAGTCACTGTTTGTTTGTTTTAAGTGCCTTTTTGAGGTCAGAGTAGAAATTGGCCAGGGTACTAGACATGGCAGTGTCCACTGCAGATTGTGGTAGCATCCCTCGCAGTTCAGTCTGAATATAGCCTGTCAAAAGACTGTGGCTAGGATAGTCCTTAAGAGGGACACAGAACCAACCACAAGGGTGATTGAATCCACGGACAAAGTTAGGTCTCACCTCTCCACAATCTAGGCTTATACCTATCAATGAAAAGAAACAAAGGAAAATTAATTTGAGACAAGAGGTGAAAAAAAAAGGTACGGTAAATTTAAAAGTTTCTGTTTGGAAAATTTAGAAGTGACAGACTTCAAGTTTCTCCATATTCTCATGCATAAAAGTTGCTCTTCATTTGACCTCCACAAGAGACAAGGAGAGTTCAACAGCAGAAATTCCGACATTATATAGACATTCGTCTCATTTACTGGCAAGTTAAGCATGCTGCTACTCCACCCAGTTTGCTGCAAGAGCTGAGCCAGAGCATTTAACTTGTCTCTACCACTACTGTCCCACAGTTGGCACAAGTGCAACTTAGCACACAGGGATGGCTCATGGGTAAGCCACCAATTTGTATACTACTTTAAATCTATGAAAGGCTAAAAAACCTTTGAAACACTTGCCGGAGACAATCTTGCACCACTTTGAACGACTACTGCAAAACTAAACTTGATCTGAATCAAATCTTCAGCAAAGCAGCTGTTTCACAATAAGAATTAAGCAGAGACGTGCCTTACCACATGTTAGAATCCCATCTTCATAGCTTGTAGTATAAGAGAAATCAACAAACTCCCTTGGTGCTATGATGTTCCAGAGCTGGCCAGCAGTGGTGTAGCGCATCACACAGCAGTTCTTGTTGAGTGACAGAATACAAAGGGTCAGAAAACAAAAATAACTTAGTGTAACGAATACAGAGGAATTTATGCTTGTAGGCAGCTAGCCTTTTCCACAAAGGTCACAGCTTCTACACTGTGCAAACAGCTTCAGTGAGGTCTGAATGGTTTTGTGTGCAGGGACAGAGAATATCTGGCACCTTTAAACCACAGAATCACAGAACTGTTTGGGCTGGAAAAGACCTTAAGATCACCTAGTTCCAACCCCCCTGCCATTGGAAGGGACACCTCACAACAGACCATGTAGCCCAAGGCTCTGTCCAACCTGAACAAGGATGGGCCATTTACCACTTCTCTGGGCAACCTGTTCCAGTGCCTCACCACCCTTGCAGTAAAGAACTTCTTCCTTGTATCTTATAATATATCCTTATGTCTTCCTTATGTATCTGAACTTCCCCTGTTTCAGTTTCAACCCATTATCTCTTGTCCTATCACTACAGTCCCTGACAAAGAGTCCCTCCCCAGCACCCCTGTAGGCCCCCTTCAGATACTGGAAGGCTGCTATGAGGTCTCCACGCAGCCTTCTCTTCTCCAGGCTCAACAGCCCCAATTTTCTCAGCCTGTCTTCATATGGGAGGTGCTTCAGCCACCTTATCAACCTCATGGCCCCTCTTCTGGACTTGTTGAAACAGCTCCATGTCCTTCTTATGTTGGGTACACCACAACTGCACACAGTACTCAAGTGGGATCTCATGACAGCAGAGTAGAGGGGCAGGATCATCTCTAACTTGCTGGTCACACTCCTTTTGATGCAGCCCAGGATACGGTTGGTTTCTGGGCTGCAAGTGCACATTGAAGCCAGTCCCTGTTCAGTTTCTCATTGATGAACAAACACCCCCAAGTCCTCGTCCACAGGGCTTCTCTGAATCACTTCTCCACCCAACCTGTAGCTGTGCCTGTGATTACGTCAACCCAGGTGTAGGACCTTGCACTTGGCCTTGTTGAACTTCATGACGTCGGCACCAGCCACGTCTCGAGTGTGTCAAGGTCCCTCTAGATCCATCTCTTCCCTCCAGCCTACCAACAGCACCACACAGCTCAGTGTCACTGGCAAACTTGCTGAGGGGAACCACACCAATTAAAACTAGAGAACTGTGTCATGCCTGGGAATGTAAAGCTATGAGCATTTATGTGTCTTACTTAAGAAGTCCAAAAGAATAAATAATAAAGGAGTCCATGAATAAATTGTAAAAGGTCAGTCTCTGTAGTAAAATGCTCTCTCAAACTACTTTTAATCCACCAAGTGAAAATAAACCAGAATGCAAGGAATTCTTCAAAAGCATTTTTAAAAAAAAAAGACAACAGAGTTTGCACCATTTTAGGGAATAATTAGCGAAAATACATTGCTGTAAAAATCTGTTAAAGCCAGATGTCCACAGGGTTTTGAAGGCATACTGAATGTCTACAGGAATGACAGCAAGCCTTCCAACATTTCTGCAGTCAACTTCAAATCTACCTTTAGTAAGTCCTGCCATTCAGTATAAACTATTTTGACTCCCATCGCTCTGGCCCTGCGACACAGTGAAGTCAGTCTTTCAGGATGAGGGATACACAGCTTCTGTATCTGCAGATTATTAATGCCCACAATTTTGTCTGTTGTGGATCAGAAGCAAGCAAGCTATATGAAAAGGCGTTGGCACATCAAATACCATATCGTAACTCTCTGTATGTGAATTTTTTCAGAGGTTACCAGAACTCCCAGGTTCAAGAGACTTGTGACTGACAAAGTCTTACTCCTTGTTTTTAGCATTGATAGACAGATGAACTTTAAACTTCAGAATAGGACTGTGCAGCCAAAAACCCTCATCTGAGGTGATCCACTGCATGCACGTGCAATACTGCATGTGCATGCAGAAATATGTTGGTATTTGTTGGGATCATTGTTCTGCTGTAGTTAAATTCACCTGTGCATCTCTACACATTTCCCTTAAGAATATAAATCAAGTCTTCACCTCATCAAATGTTTCCATGATGTCCATTGTTGTCATTAAGCTGTCCCAGTCTAGCCTATAAGGTCCAGGGCGAATGTGATCCACTATTCTGTTAGTAACATCTTCCACCACTCCTTGAGCTTTGTAGCTAAAGAAACATATGTTTACGTTTAAAAGTAAAAATTCTTTATAAATATTCCATTACCTTGCAACAGTGTATTTACTGCAATACCTGGAATTATGGTCAGTGAAAAACTGTATCAGAAAAACTACAAAAAAAGACCTATGGGTACATCTATCCTTCTTGGCAATAAATGTTATTTGCAGAACTTTGTCCCTGTGCTGCAATCAACATTTTGTAAATGGCAAACTCCTACCTCAGATAAAAATTATGTTTATTCCTCTAACTTGTCATTTTGCCCTTGTTGCTGGGCAAGTGAAGGAGTTCACAAGGGACAAGTAAAGATATGAGGAAAAAGAAAGGGCTGCAGGAATACAATGGGAAAAGGATTTTTCATAAAGTAACAGTAGTAGAACAAAGCTAATGAGAAACTATGTTACACTTTGGTGGCATATAAGAGTACCAAATATACCAAAACAATTTTGTATAAGACATTACAGTACATCCATTATTAGACAGTTTTTAGTGGACACCAGAGATACTGTTTACTTGAGTTATACTGGGCCCAGCTCCTGAATGGGAAGAATCCATCAGGATCAGTATTTTCAAAATACTCATTCATTAAGTTGTTCTTAGGAGGCAACTATTCAAGCAACAGATTCCTCTATTCACTAGTTCACCCATATTCACTCATAATTACCTGGTTGGAGCCAATCTCAGCCGTATAGTCAGAACTGGAGGACCACATGCCAGTGGCTTCACTGCATCCTTCAAAACTCGAAACTGTCCTTTGTATCACTAGGTGTATATACAACCCTGGTGTCTTCATCTGCATACAGCGGCCACTGCCCTTATAGCAGTGGTTCCAGTTACAAAATCCGTTGATGTCAGTGTGCCTGTGGCTCTACAGAGTCAGCAGACTCTTAGTGTCTGGGATCATCAGCTCTTGCAGACTTAACAGGATTTATATTCTACAAGGCCTATGTGCCTTTGAGATACTTTCAAACACCACTTCTTCACGCAGCTTTTAATCCCTTCACAGTGCTGTTTTCTAGTAAATATTTCTCTACCTAAACCTACAGAACCCAGTGACAGACACTCACAGAGGAAGGGCCTTTATGTCATAAACTTTTCCGACAACTATATACTTGATATTTTACTCTATTGCATAGTCATTGTAACAGTCTTAAGTACTGACTGGGCATTCACCAAGTAACACTTGATCTATTGAACCTAGACTTGCCTCTTTGGCTTGCAGACCATCTTTCTCCACCTTACTCCAGTCAATATGAGTTTTGTGGTGTGTTCCAGTTTTCATTGTTCAGTGTTCTAGACAGCATGCAATGCTAAAGTGCCAAAGTGTAACACTAAAGAAATGATACAGGCACACTAGATGATCCACTTAGCTTCTCCTCTGGAGTATCTGTGTAGCTGAAGACTTCCTTCATTTATGAATTCTACAAAGCACACCTGTGGAACCTGAAAAACGGATTTGCTCTGCAGGCAAACTTACAGGTATCCACTGAATTCCTCTGATGGTTTACGCCACACAGTTGCATCTTTCTGAAATAAAATGGAAGATAGGATTTTTACTGTCACTTATATACAACTATAAAGTGTCCAGAAAATGCGTCAATTTTTTTGAAGAAAAACAAATAACTTTACCATTAAGTATGGTTAACACCACAGTGCTCACTGATGCGGGCACTTTTGTATGCTTTTCTTAAGAACAGAAGATGTTTCATACATCTTTTACTAGTAATCTTCCTTTAAAAAAAAATAAATAAAAATCAGTCAATTGCGTTTCTTAGTGTCAAATAGTAGAAGTCTGTGCAGAAATAGGGCTTGGCAGGCCAAGCCAGCTTACTGTGAAAACATATAGAATAACGGAACCACATTATTCTGTAAAGCCTTTCAATTGAAAGGCACCTGGAAAACCATTATATGCACACTACTCAGACAGGAAGATCAGACAACTTCTGCTCACACCCGTTACACATGACCAAGCAGAAGTGTGCAGGAGGTGCTGACCATGGCAGAAAAAGAAAGCTTAAGTTACCCTTCTCTCCTAGGTGCCTGACTAGATGTGCCTTGCAGGCAGTAGTCTATTAATATGAAAATTATCCAGAGAAAATAAAGAAACCAATATCTTCTGAGTTTTACCTAACTCTGAGATGGAGCCTCTTTACAAAATCTCTCATTTTTAGCATTAAACAGAGTACTGTATGGCAGCTTTTTATTTGGAATCATGATTACATAAGCACTAAGGACCAAATGTCCTAAAGAATAGTACCATAAGTACTGCATCCAGAATGGTTTAAGATATTTTGGGGCAAAACACATCTCCCTGGCAGGTAACTACAGCTGTGCATTTCTTTTAAAGGGCACAATATGGCAGGAAAGAAAGGCGGGAGGAGAGAGAATGGAGAATCCCAAATACTGAGATTCAGGTAACTTCCTAAAGGAAAACAAAAGTATAACTATAAGACACCATGTAGCAGAGCAGAGGTAGCACAGGTGTTCTGCAAGATGGCTTGGGTTGCTTACTCTGTTCCTCCCTTTTCAGACACTGAATTTGCTAGTTTCACAAACAGTCAAGTTACATTTGGAACAATTGAGCATCTCTTATCAATATCTGCTCATAACATAAATCAGAAAAAAAAAAAGCAAAATAAATAGAAGACCCATTCAAAGCACTGTAACAAAAGGGCAAAGATAGAAATTTACCACCCTAGTACTACCATGCTGATGATACCAAAATACACCTGTACCTCCTATGCAGGACAGGATTAAAATGTATTCAATCAGCTGATAAATGATGCACCAGCAAAGTCTTTCCAGCTTGATGAAGCAGGGCTCAGAGAAACCAAGCACCTCCAAAGAAGGGTATGCAAACTGCTTGGAAAAAGCAGGAACTGCATTCCCTTTCATGGAAAGAAATGTGGGGCTCTGAAGACAATGGAAATATGAAAGCAATACAAGAGAAAGAATTCAGAATGATCTCACATTTTAAGAGGAAGAAGTTGGAAGCTGAGGCATGATAGGTTCAAGCATTATAGATAGAATTACAAAAGCTAGCAGAGTCTATCTGTAGGCTGTGGTTGCTCTGTGGAAAGTACAAGTGAGAAACCTGCAACACTGCTAGTGCTAAAAGAAAAGCCTATAGTCCTACACAGGTAGGATTTTTCCATGAGATACTTCCCAGAAAATGTGTAGAAGGACTGACAGATTATGTCTGTAGAAAGTAAAACCACATCCTGTCACCTGCAGATGTACTATCCTGAAGGGTGGTTCCATAGGGCCTCTCATAAGAAACTCCTACAAGAATCTGCCAGGTGTTTAACACCCATGTTATCCAGCACAACAACCTCTCTTCCCTCTACAAGTGACCAGCAGCTTCCTTAAAAGAACAAATTGGTCCACAAGGACAAAGCCGCCCTTCACTCACGGTTTTCTTGGTGACCCTCCACTCGCTGTCTCCGATGCTGTGGTACTGAACCAGGGTGTTTCGCAGCCTGCTGGCCAGGGGTGCTGAGTTCTGCAGGAGATCCATTTGCTTTCCTCCTATGTAAAGACACCTATTACACAGACACAAGCATCAGAACCAGACACCACGCTAGGGACATCAAAGACATTATGATGCATTTAAATCATAGAATCACAGTACAGAAAGGCCTTTTAGGATCATCTAGTTCCAACCCCCCTGCCATGGGCAGGGACATCTCACACCATACCGTGTAACCCAAGGCTCTGTCCAACCTGAACAAGGACAGGGCATTTACCACTTCTCTGGACAACCTGTTCCAGTGCCTCACCACCCTTGCAGTAAAGAACTTCTTCCCTGTAATATATCCTTATGTCTTCCTTATATCTTATACCTGAACTTCCCCTGTTTCAGTTTTGACTCATTACCCCCTGTCCTGTCACTACAGTTCCTGACGAAGAGTCCCTCCTCAGCATACCTGGAGGCCCCCTTCAGATACCGGAAGGCAGCTACGAAGTCTCCACACAGTCTTGTCTTCTCCAGGCTCAACAGCCCCAACTTTCCCAGAGAAAGGAAGGGAGGTACTCCAGCCCCCTTTTCATCCCCGTAGCTCTAAATCCGCGCACTCTGAACAGGGAAAGCAGAACCACCACCTGCCCTGCCCGTTCCGCGCATACACCCCCTCAGGGCTACCCTCAGGATCCCTCGGGGAGGCGGGTCGCAGTTGGTGCAGCCCGCAAGACAAAGGCCGCCCCCACGGCCGTTAGGAGTTCATGACGGGCGAGAAACACTCGCCCCTCCTCCCGTCCCTGCCCGTCCGCAGACCCCGGCTCCCACCTTTGTCCGCCACCCTTCACCTCCTCCACCTCCACGGCTGCGGGAACTGCCGGCCGCTCCGACAGCACAACGGCCGATGCCGCAGCCAATGAGAGTACAGGCGGCTGCGGGCCGCAGCCAAAGGCAGCGCGACCCGCCGGGTAAGGAGATGAGTGGAGAAAGTAGGGCTCGCTGTATCCTCGTATCATGCGATCTCTCGGCATGTCAACGGGATGTCGTCACGAGCCGGTGGAAGGCCGGCGCCCCTCTATTGGCTGCAGAGGAGGAGCTCGACGCCGTGATTGGGTGGGTGAGGTGGGGTGATGGGAGAGGCGGGGTTATCGCCACCTGGCGGCCTCCGTGACCTGGGAGGTGCGTAAGGGGGAGTGGTGGGGCGGGGCGGGGCGGCGTGTCTCTCTTCCTTTGCCCTCCACATCCTCCCTCTTCCCGCTCCCCTCCCCAGCCCCGTGCCTGGGCTGGCCTTGGCTGGCCTGTTAACCCTTGTACGGCCCACCGATAGCATGATACCACAGGATTGCAGTGCGTGCTCGGAGGCCCCCAGACCCCAGTCACCAGGCCACGTCTGCTCGTCTTCTGACGCATGGCCTGCTGCTGTCGCTTTCTGAAGTGTCACGGAATCTGGAACTCAAAACAAAAGGTCCAGCTGTGAAAGTCTTGAGGTGGTTCAAAGCACAGCAAGTCACATGTGGTGAGGAACTTCGAGATACTCTTGCTTTCAGTCAGCAGTGCTTGCAGTGTGATTGAGCAGGCTTTGAGGAAGTGTTGAAGGATTGCTTTTGATTCAGAGAAATCTCCAGGAGCTTGCCAGCTAATTTGTAAGTTGACAAGCAGGTATTCTTTATTGCGGCACCGGGAGACACGGGGGATCACTCCTCCAAGTTTGTCTCTCCCAAGCCTCAAGCAGGCTGTGATTATGTTGTCCTTAAACACGCATATTCATTAGATTACATACATTACATCATACTTTTAGAGAATTCATCGTCTATGCATACAAAAATGTGGTAGTGGGCTTTTGGGAGCCCTGGTGGTTATTTCTTCATCACTTCTTTTCAGGATCATTGTCATATCAATAACCACCAGGCGGTCCTGGCAAAGCTGATCTTAGTAATTTCCTTTTCTCTATAGTTGCTAACAAAGCCTAACATCCTTGAGGTTACTCATTTACAACTCTATTCTTCAATCAACCCCATTCTTCAATCCCCTGTTTTCTTGTCCTATTCCAAATTCTTTTGCAACTGAGTTATTCTTTTTTACAGTTTCCTGAATATTTCCCTGATTCTGCTTGATGCTTAATTTTGTTTCTCTTCCATTCATCATAGTTCATCATGGATTGTTTGCAGCATCAAAAGGAGCATTGGACCATTATACATGTAATCACAACCATTCTTATTATTACCAGTACAGTAAGAAAACAACTGTCTCAACCAGGAGAGATTGGGTACCCGTGATGTTAATTTTTCCCAGATTTCCTCAGACCCCCATGAGGTGCTGTTCTGTGCCACCTCATGAAATATTTTAACTTGTTTCCACATCTAATCTATTCCAGTTTGTCTCAAATGGAATAGGGAGGCCAATTAAAGGAATACCCACTGTCTCCCGATTTAGGTAGCTGAGTACAGATCCAACAATCACTCTTGTTTAAGACACTAGTAACATTTTGTATCAATCTCAGATACAGATTTTGATTCCATGCTTCTACACCTATTGTTACATAAGTCCAAATTATGATTGATGTAGTCTCATATGTATGGTGCCTGAAGACTCGACGCACCATACTTTTTCTCAGTTCTGGTGGTTTTCTCGTTCTGACGTCTTCCTGATTCTTGAGTAATGTATCCGAGCAGGCTGTTCTTTTATCTTCACTGCTGTAAAGGTAGTCAGTAATATCTGGTATGGTCCACTACACTTCTCCTCTAGGGGATCACCTGCAAAATTCTTAATATAAAAAAAAACACAATCTCCTGGCTTTAAAGGATGAATAGGATAATCTAAACCTCTGGCCTTGGTCCCTAACACTCTGCCATTTATTTCTTGTAACTGCTTTTCCAGCTTTACCAAGAATTGTTGAAGGCATCCTTCTCCTACTTCTTGAAGGCTCTCTCCTTTAAATTGAGATTGATACGGCTTTCCATATAGAATCTCAAATGGGCTAATTCCTTCCTTTGACCAAGGTTTTGTTCTGATTCTCAATAAGGCCAATGGTAGTGCTTGATACCAATATAACTTAGTCTCTTGACAAATCTTCCCAAGTTGTTGTTTAATTGATTCATTTTTTCCACTAGCCCACTGGGCTGAGGCCTATATGGAACATGTAATTGCCAATCTATTTCCAATTTCTTGCTGATTTCTTGTAATAATTTTGCACTGAAGCATGTATTGCGGTCAGAGGAGGTAGTTGCTGGTACTCCAAAATGAGGTATTATTTCAGTTAATAACACCTTAATCACTTGTTTTGCATTATTTGCCCTGCAAACGAATGCTTCTGGCCACCCTGAAAAGGTGTCTGTCAATACCAACAAATATTGATAACCTTGTTTTCTACGTAATTCAGAAAAATCTATTTGCCACTGTTGTCCCAGATAATTACCTTTTCCAATTGTCCCTACCTGATCCCTCTTTTCAGTCTTAGGGTTATTTTTCAGACATAGTTGACATTGTTTTGTCATTAATTGCACTATGGTATATAGATTTCTTCCTATGATCTGTTTAAATGTTTATACAAAACATTACTTCCCCAATGAGTTTTGTTATGCTCTTCCTGTAACAGCTTCCATAATTGATTATAGGGGATCACTACTCGCCCATCAGGTATTTTTATCCAACACTTTTCATTTTTCTGGCCTGGACTCTTTAGAGTACCTAGGTTTATTTTGATCAATTACCAGTTTACCGTGAGGAATTAAGGACATCACCTGAACTCTTTCTGTTTCTGCCGCCCGTTTAGCCTCATGATCAGCCGAATTGTTTCCTATCTCTTGATCAGAGTTACCTTTTTGATGTCCTTTACAATGTATGATAGCCACTTCATTAGGTAATTGTACAGTTTCTAACAATTGCAGAATTTCCATTGCATGTTTGATTTGTCTTCCCTGGGTATTTAAAAGTCCTCGTTCTTTCCAAGTTGCTTCATGTGCATGAACTACACCAAAAGTATATTTGGAATTAGTCCATATGTTTACCTGCTTGTCCTTTGCCAACTCTAAGCCTCTAGTCACGGCTATTATTTCTGCCTTTTGTGCTGAGGTGTTAGAGGGTAATGGTTTAGCTTCTATTACCCTTGAAGTTGTAGTTAAGGCATATTCTGCTCTTCATATACCATCTTTAACAAAGCTGCTGCCATCAGTGAACCAGGAATCTGCACCCTTCAGAGGCTCCTCCTTCATATCTGGTCGGCTCAAATATACTATCTCTATAGTGGCCAAGCAATCATGAGTCAACAGTTCAGTAGGGGTTTCCTGAAGGAAAGATGCTGGATTCACAACATTAGTGATCACAATTTCCACATCATCCAGTTCTACTAGGATGGCTTGATACTTCAAGAAATGTGATGGTAATAGCCAACGTGTACTTTTTTGTTCTAGGACTGTTGATACTGCATGTGATACTAACACGGTGATCTTTTGTCCCGGTGTAAATTTTTGGGCCTCTTGGATATTTAAGATAACTGCTGCCACTGCTCTCAAGCATCCAGGCCAACCTTTACTTGGTTCATCCAGTTGTTGATCTTCGAGTTCAGATTAGTTGAGCTTTTAGTTTAAATACCCAGTATCCATTTAGCCCCAGAAAGTTTAACAGTTCTACAGTCCATTGAATGCATTCTTTCTCATTTTAGGTAGCAATTAACAGGTTGTCAACATCTGTAATAAGGTTCCTGTATGGGTGGGAGCTTCCCAGGATTCTAGTTCTTGTGCCAATTGATTTCCGAAAATGGTCAAACTTTAAATCCCTGACGTAACACCGTCCAAGTGATCTGTGTCCTTCTTCCTGTTTCAGTGATGCGAAGGGTTAACCGAAGTACAGGGGGGTTAGGGTTAAGCCACTTGCTTGACAATGTTACTGCTTACTTGTGCTTACTCAACAAATACGTGCTCCACACTTACCATGCTTGCTGGAACAGAGTGGGAGGACCAAGGCTATTGATAGGAGGAAGGAACAGTAACTCCTGTTCTCTGGACCCCTAAACCGACTGAAATAAGCTCTGCGGTTTGGACAGTAACTAAATCACCAGGGAACATGTGCAATGACTAGACATGAAAAGTTCAGGAAAAACTCTTTACTTTATCTTGAAACCCCCCGCTCATGACCACCAGGAGATCCTATGCAAGCAAGGACCTTTTACCTCATTATAATATGAAGCAGGTATAGGTCATGAATATGTATAGGTGTGTTGTGTAACCTCATGAATATGTAATAGTTTAAAGGATAAATATGAAGGAGAACAATGCTGAGGTGTGCATGCCTTTGGAGGAGCTATCCCCCATGCGCCTCAGTGCTGAATAAAAGCATACTTACAACTTTAATGAGTTGTGGAGTCTACCTGCACATCATCAGGGTTTTTCCATTCAAAAGAAAATAAATTTTCCCATTCAAAAGTAAATTTTGACTTTCTTTGGCCAGGGGCAGACAGAAAAATGCATCCTTTAGGTCCAGAACAGTAAACCACTTCTGATTATTTGGCCAATAAGGTATACAGATTAGCTACTACTGGATGAATATCCTCCACAATTTTGTTGATTGCTCTGGGATCTTGAACTAATCTGTAACTTTTCCCATCGGATTTTTTAATGACAAGATAGGAGTATTACATTCTGAGTCACATTCAATTAATAATCCATTTTTTTTAATTATTCCTTTGATTCCCTTTCGATCCTCCAATTGTAGGGAATATTGTTTTAGCCTAATTGGGCAGGCCCCCGTTTTATTTCTACTTTAACAGGTGAAGCATTTTTTCGCCTTACCTGGAACTTCAGATGCCCATACTCCCAGATATACCTGATTAAGGATTTCTTCTATTTCAGGGAGGTCCTCCTGTTTGCTTTTCCGTTGAATTAAAGATAAACTCAAAAC